ACAAATATGTGTTAAAGGCAAAGTAATGTTAATGACCACCAGTATAACACAGTTCTTAAGGTTTTTACAGACACTCACTCTCTCACTGATATCTGGCAACAAAAAAATCCCAATGAATGCCAGTATACATGGATAAAACCTAATGGTGGTGCAAAATCAAGAATAGATTATTGGTTATTATCCCCTGAAATACTGGAATTTGTCACTAAGGTTGAAATAGCTGCAGCACCTTTAACTGACCATTGTTTAGTTGGAATAACTCTCAAACCAAATGTTAATATCAACCACTATAAGAGCTATTGGAAATTTAATTCAGATTTATTATTGGTGGAAGAGTTTGTAAATGAAGTAAGAAATACATTAATGGAAATTGAAAATGATACAGAACTAAACACTTATTGTAAAAAATGGGAATATTTTAAATTTAAAGTGAGAAGTATTTCTATTAAACAGGGTAAAATCAGAGCGCGACAGTAGCTCAGTTGGTAGAGCATTGGCCTTAAGGCCAGAAGGTCGTGGGTTCAATTCCCACCTCTGCACCTTCTCCATCGACTCCCACTGATGACTGCTGTCGTTGTGTCCTTGGGCAAGACACTTAACCCCACTTTGCCCAAAAGCCCCCACTGAAAGATCAAGGCTATGCTCACACTCAAAGAGCAGCCGTCCTCCTGTGGACTCACCACCTGCAGAGGATCAGAGAGGGGCTGGTGCTGTGAGACTTGGGTGGCATCTCTGATTGCCACCCCCCTGACCCAGAAATGGATTAAAGGGCAGAAAATGGATGGATGGAGGGTAAAATCAGAAGCCAACGCCTAAGGGAAAAAGAATATACCCTAGCACAAGAAATTAACATGTTGTGTAAGAAACATGATCTTACAGAAGAAGAAAAGGCTACTTTTTCAAATTTACAATCCAATCTTGATGAATTATTCCTTCAAAGGGCACAGGGTGCTTATGTAAGGTCCAGGGCCAAGTGGATAGAACAAGGAGAAAAAAATTCATCTTACTTCTATCATTTAGAAAAAAGAAGACAGGAAAAGAATAAGTTGGATGTATTAATGATTAATGACAAAGAATGTCACCAAGCAAATATAATAGCTGAAGAGACGTACAAATTTTATTCAAATTTATACTCATCCAATTACATTCCTGAAAGTTCTGAAAATTTTCTCGAGAATATAAGACACAAAATTCCTCAAGTTGAATAGGGTTTTAAATTGTTATGTGATGCTCAAATACAACTAAAAGAACTTGATGCTGCTATTGAGCGTATGGCTTTGGGAAAAGCCCCTGGTCAAGATGGTTTAACATCCAATTTTTATAAATTTTTCTGGACAGATATAAAACAAATGTTATTTTCAGTTTTCAATGAATGTATTGAGAATAATAATCTCACAACAACGATGAAGCAAGGGGTCATTACTCTCTTACCAAAGCCAGGAAAAGATAAAAGGTATATTGAAAATCTAAGACCCATATCCTTATTAAATGTAGATTATAAACTATTCACTCAAATTTTAGCCAATAGATTGAAGGCTGGGATAGGCGATGTTGTTAGTGAAACTCAGTCGGGCTTTATTAAAGATAGATCAATACACAATAACATTAGATTAGTTTTGGATTTATTGGATTACAACTATTTAATTGAAGATCAAGGTTACATTTTATTCCTTGATTTCTATAAAGCTTTTGATCTGGTTGAGCATCCATTTATTTTGAAGACTCTTGAATTTTTCGGCTTTGGTGATAAGTTCATTGACATGATTAACATGTTGTATACAGATATAAACAGTTCAGTGTCTTTACCTGCGGGTACAACCAAAAGATTCAAGATAAATAGAGGGGTAAAGCAAGGATGCCCGTGCTCACCTCTGATTTTTATTTTAGTTGTAGAAATATTATCGATTTATATCAAAAACAGTACAGATTTGAAACCATTAAATGTTCTGGGCAGGCCTCTAATTATCACACAATTAGCCGATGACACGACAATTTTTATAAAAAATGCAGATCAAATTCCTCTAGTAATCACGAAAGTGGAGATGTTTTCCAGAGCTTCTGGGTTACAATTAAATCTTAAAAAATGTGAGCTGATGGCCCTTCATGAGCACCCCAATTCAGATTTACATGGAATCCCTGTGAAAACTGAAGTAAAATACTTGGGAATTATATTGTCGAAAGATTGGAAAAGAAGGGAACTCCTAAACATTGAAAACAATATAACCAAAACACAACCTATCTTAAATTCTTGGTTACAAAGAGATTTATCAATCTTTGGTAGAATTTTTATTTCCAAAAGTGAAGCTTTATCAAGATTTATTTACCCCGCATTTTCTCTAGCTGTCCCTGATCATCTGATTAATAAAATAAACAAAAACATTTTTAATTTTACATGGAAAAATAAACATCACTACATTAGAAAAAATGATGCAGTTAAACCCATTGCTGAAGGTGGTCTAAACATAATTGATTTTGAAGCTATGAATGGAACGCTAAAATTAAAATGGTTGCAAAATGTTATAAACAATCCTAATAATTTTTGGTTTCGTATTCCAGCAAACATATTTTTAGAATGTGGCAGCATTGAATTCCTATTAGCCTGTGACTTTGCTCTTTCTAAATTGCCCCTTAAGTTATCTAAATTTCATCAACAGGTTCTCTTAAATTGGAAAATGTCCTACACTCATAATTTTACTCCACACAACATGCCTATTTGGAACAATCGATGCATATTGTTCAAAAGAAAATCTATCTATTATGATGACTGGGTGAAAAAAGGTATTTGGTCTATTTCACATCTTATGGATTCGGATGGGAATGTCCTTAATTACTCTGCTCTTACAGAGAAATACAATCTTAAATGTACCAAAAAACAGTATAATACTATAATTAAGGCTATTCCTTTAGAAATGTTAAATTTAGTGAAAGGTTTATTGATGTATGACGTCGTAATACCTAGATTTCCTTTGCTTATAATAGATGACATAGAACTTAAAAACGGAAAATGTTCAAACAAAATAATAAGAAGTGCAATAACAAATAAACTTCACCCAATTTCACTAAAAAGACTTTACACCCTCAAAGATTTTCCAAAAGATATACAAATAAAAATCAGAACCAAATATCTCTCCCTCCCAATTTATCCTAAAGCTAAAGAAACCCATTTCAAAATTTTAAATGATATTTATCCCAGTAATGAATTTCTGAGACAACGTTTCAATATTGATTTAAATTCGTGTTCATTTTGTGAATGTGATATTGAATCTGTGGAGCATTTATTTTTTGATTGTCATTATACCAGAACTTTATGGAATTCATTTCAACATTGGATATCAGAATATGTTAATGATGCACCCAATATACTGTACAAAGATGTCAAATTTGGAGTATTTTTGAAAGATAGCAAGAAAGAACTTTTTTATAATACTTGTATACTATTACTTAAACAATATATTCACAAATGTAAATTTTTGAAGGTTAAACCACTCTTCCAGATTTATTTGAATGATTTTTTGCAATTTAGGAAAGCCTTATGTCATGTAAAAACTAAAGCAGCTACTATTTTTATTAATTTCATACAATCTCAAGTATGATAACAGACCTCTTGTGATTGTTTCTCTTTTGTTTTTTTTTTTGTTTTTTTTTTTTGTTTTTTGTTTTTTTGCTGTACCTCATGTTGTACGTCCATTGTACACTTTTGTAATGTACACTTGCTCAGTCTGTGTAAAAGGTTATAATAACGATTTGTAATGCCATATTGATTAAAAAAAAAAAAAAAAAAAAAAATCTATGTAAACAATCTATAAATGCATTAACCGGTAAAAAAAAAAAAAAAAAAAAAAAAAAAGATATTTCTTATGCACATTTTTACTGCATTGGAAAACGTTAAGAATGTTGTCCCTCCTACAGAAACCACATTGAAACTAGAAATAAAATATACCCTTCCCACTCCATTTTCAGACATTTTTGAAAAGGCTCCAGGAGCCACTCAAGGGGCACTAAAGAGAGCCAAATGCACACTTCATAGGAGGGCGTAGGGTGCAGTGTGGGTATTGGGACTGGGGCCCCAATACCCACACTGCACCCTACACACCTCTTCGAAGTGTGCATTTGTTTGAAGTGCACACCAGGGTTGGAGTGCGCAGGTTACAAGTGTGCAAAAAAGGCGGAATTGGGACAGTGCACACTGAGTGCAGGTTACGTCATTGACTCGTCAAGAGATGGTCATTTTCAGACCTAAACTTTATAAACATTAAAGGTAATTTTGTCTGACCCTTTGGGAAACAAAATGAATTGCTTCACACACGTTAAAATACATGTATATTAGTTGTTTTTAATTAGAGATAGCTGTATAATTTTAAGTTTAATGTGGGTAACTAACTATCTGGTCAGTTTTTATACATTCTAAGATTATTGTACTAAGTGTAAAGTTTAAATTGAATGTTATATAAACGCTTGCTTTAAAAAGTTATTAAATTTTTAAAACACAATGTCCGTAATTCTTCATCAGACGTTTATGCTTCTTTCCAAGTAACATAGCAAAACTTATTTACACACATACTGCATATATATTTCAACATTTATATTTAAATGCATTTTCCCGACGTTTTGGTATGTACCGCAAAGAATTATGGGCAATATCCTTCGCCAGAGTGCGCATAGATGCAGGCTACGGCGAAGTGTGGATCAGGGGCGCAAAGGGGGCGGGGCCAAAGACCTCCCTGGAGAATTGGGACACCCTACGCACTCGCACCCTTTAACGGGAACGCGCAAATGAGGGGCGCGAGGGTGGAAGTGCGAGTATTGGGACGGGGCCAGTGACAACAGCCTTTGCGTAACTAGGAACGTAAGTCTTCTCGTTCGTGTTTCTACCGACGCTTTATATGTCCGGGACCAAAACATTATCCGCGCATGCGCAAACACCAGTCAACGTTACATGATGCTCTGACAGGAGACAGAAAAGGAGACAGGAGACACTCACGGACACCTCCCGCAGCACCATGTCGAGACAAGACCCCGGTCAGGCCCAGGGACCGGACCCGGGAATGGACCAGGACACAGAGCAGAAGGTACCCCCGTGATACTCTGTAGACCGAGTGAAACTAGCACAGGATACTATGGCCAGAGGTCATGAGACAATACAGCACTGTGGACCGCATACACTTCCGTTTGGTCTGTGCTACAGCTTTTACACGGCTTACATTAAAGCTGGGGTTCATGTATTTCGAAACAAATAATTAGATTTATGTAAAGTTTATAAAATCTATGAAACTCAGATGGCTCTAGAACAGTTTGTTTCTATCACTGGATTTTACAAGTGCGAACCTATGGTATAGCTACTGTCACATCTTTTCCACACGTAAAGTTACATAGAGAGGACCTCTCAGCCAATCAGCTCTCTGCCCAAAGTCAAATAGTGACTACTTAATTGTAAGTGTGTAAAAGATGACATGTTCTAATAAGATGAAGGTTGTATTCTGTACATTCCTGATAGTATGGAACATTATGTAATGATTTTTTGAGTAGGTTGCATGATAACATTATTGTAGGCCTTCTCCTGGGGCCCAGAGTCAGAACTAAATTGTAGATTTATGCAGCTAATATCTGCTTGAAAAGTCTACCTGTAAAATGTGACACAGGCTTTTTCTCTAACAAATTTTCAAATTCAGGTTAAAAACTGTTCTGTTTAGCTCATACAACTGAGTTTTTTATCTTCTCTTGCTTAATGTACCGAGATTATTTATCATTTAATCCATTGAATTGTTTCTATCTTGGTTGTATATTAACTGTGATTAACAAATAAACTTGCCTTACCTTACGAATAGCAGTAAGACACTGCTGCTTATGATTCTCAGTACTGTTTAACATGTTATTTTGCTTCACTGCTATGTCACAGAAAGTATTCGATGTGCATTGTGCTTTGCTTGAATATTGTCCTGTGTAGTATTCTTGTGGATGGCCCTGCGCTCGTCGTGCAGTGGTCCTCTGTTTGGTGCTGACTCTGAGCTGCTCCTCAGGGTTTCCGGCTGCTGGGCATACTGGATGTGCAGAGCGTCCCGTGTGCAAGGGAGTCCGTGCTGTACGGGGCAGGGGGCGGACTGGCCCTGGGTCTGCTGCACTTTTTAAGCACCAGTGAGTACTCGGCCCCAAACATCATCCATCTTACGCCATCACCGCAGGACCTGCTGTCTCTAAGGTCATAAGAAAACACTCGTAGAAAACAGAACAAGTTCCCCAAACTTCACTTTATCAAAGCCACACATTTGAGCTTGTGGACATACAGTGTTGTACTTTGGGCTCAAAAGTGTAGTCCAGTCAGAAATGCATAAGAATTGTTTTTTTCTTTTCTGCTCCTTTCCTTCATGTACATTTTTAAAATATGTATGTAGCTATTATTATGTGAACAAGTGAACAAAGCATTTTCATGAAAGGAATAGATAAATAAATTCAAAAAAAAAGTTCTGTACATGTGATGAAGGCGTGCACACTGCCATTAGGGGGTGTGGTCTCAATAGTCGTGTGCCTGTGAATGTTGAATGATAGTCAAGTGTATTTGAACAGAATCTGTTTGTTTTAGTCGAGATTATGAAATATATTATAGGTGTATATTATACTATAATTAAGTTCCCAATGAAGTGCCAACCTTCAATTTGAAAAACCCCCATAGATTCCTGTTAATTCTCTTGTAAAGTTTTCATTTTAGAACATTTCTGCAATTGCCCTGTTACACTGTATCTTCCTCACAAACAGATCCTCATATCAGACCAGTCCCCCCGCCCCTTCTGTCTACATTAAAACAAGACAAGACAAACAAACAGACAAGAGCTCTGGTGTGTGTCTGGTGCACACCGGGGTAGTCTTGCACAGTTTTTCCTATGTGGTTTTACTGCAAATGGTAAAAATAAATGAATCTGAATCTGAAACCTAATAAACAATCCTTACTGTGACTGTGTGTGTCCTCAGGTCGGGTCAGGAGGTCCTATGACGTGGGCTTCGCGGGCTTCTTCATCACCACACTGGGATCCTGGTGAGTCTGTACAACACTCACGGACTAGAGACTGGGATGAGTCTAAGGGGGTGAGGGAGACCTGAGAGAGGGAGACCTGAGAGAGGGAGACCTGAGAGAGGGAGACCTGAGAGAGGGAGACCTGAGAGAGGGAGACCTGAGAGAGGGAGACCTGAGAGAGGGAGACCTGAGAGAGGGAGACCAGAGAGAGGGAGACCAGAGAGAGGGAGACCAGAGAGAGGGAGACCAGAGAGAGGGAGACCAGAGAGAGGGAGACCAGAGAGAGGGAGACCAGAGAGAGGGAGACCAGAGAGAGGGAGACCAGAGAGAGGGAGACCAGAGAGAGGGAGACCAGAGAGAGGGAGACCAGAGAGAGGGAGACCAGAGATAATGTCCTGATGTCACATGAATGCTCTCTCTTGTCTGGGTTTCTCACCATCTTTTCACGATCATAAATGAGTTCATCCAATCGTGTTTTTCGACCGTTTGGATCCGCCCGGCGATAACAGCCTCTGTGTCTTTTCAGGTTTTACTGCCGGTTAAACAGTGCCAAACTGAGAGCCCAGGAGCGCGTCTTTAAGCAGGGAGTCCGCAACAAAGTGCTCTACCAGGGGACCAGCATAGACCCTACCACAGAGCCCACCCAGAGGAGCCCCCCATCCGCCTCCTGATACCATTCAATTCAATTCAGCAGCAGGAGGACTTAACAAAGTTGGGGATTCACCAACAACAGATCACAGATTTTGCAAACTAATTAAACTATGACAGTAGATAATTAAAAGCAGCCTCTCAAATGAGTTTTGGGGAATCTCACTTCTATCACTGGATTAGGATCTCAAACCATCAACAGTGTATTCTGTCGCCCCCTAGTGGACAGCAAAAATGAACGTCAGTGTAGCCCTCTCTTGAGTTATATGATCATAAATATTGAACACTAAACTCAATTAGTCATCATTTGAATTCTTTCATATAAATATATATTTTGTCCACACATAAACCCATGAGAAACACAGCAGCCTGTACTGTATATTTTGGTGTAATGTGTCTTATTTTATTCAGCGGTTTTTATGATCAGAGCCTTAAACAGTAAGTCTGTGGTTTGTTTCAGTAGCAGAGGTCTCCAACCTGTGGTTCTGGAGCTACCAGGAACTCGTCAGCCCCGTTCACATTTGAAATATAAATGTAGGGTTAACAGTATTATGGCATGTTGTTCAGGTGTGTGCTCCATTGAGCCTCTTCTGTTGTAAATCTGTTGATTGACAGAGAAGAGATCATTGATGTCCAGTGTGTGCTGCTGCTGAGCATTAAACTCTTACTGTGTGACTTGTTTGATTCTTTTCTGATCTTTCTTGTAAAAAGGCAAAAAAGCTCTAGATTTACCTCTCAGTCTATGGCTTCTACCCTCATCTGGACATGAGGGAGCAGCGTCTGCAGTCAGAGCTCTATGTCCCCTCCCTCACCTCTGGTCATGAGCTTTGGGTAATGATCCTGGATACAACCTCCACATGAGTTTCCTCTGCAGAGTGGCTGAGTCCTCTCTTAGAGATATAGGGGGAGGAGCGCAGTCACATGGGTGGTGCTCGGAGTAGAGCCACTGCTTCTTTACATGGAGAGGAGCCAGTTGAGGTGGCTCGGGCATCTGTTCTGGGCACGTCCCACCAGGAGGAGACCAGGGTAACACCCAGGACACAGAGGGACTGGGAACGTCTCAGGATTACCCCAGATGAGCTGGAAGAAGTCTGTTTGTCTCTGCTCAGACTGCCCCCACGACCCGGCAATGAGTAAAGAAGATGAAAATGCAGGGATCTTATTGTTGGGATGACATGTCATTTAAAGTGATTGTCTGGAGTTTGTCAGAAAAAAGAGAGAGAGGTACAGGATTTGAAAAAAAACGACCCAAGCTCGCTCCCCCTTCCTTTCTGATTGGTCTATGCCTACATTTCCGTAACACATTTAAATGCGAATCTGAGAACACACACATATACATTATTAATACACATACACAGAGGTTTTCAGAATTATTTTTTAACGTTTTCATGACAAAAATAATGTTTTAATCACGGTAAACCCGGAAGTAGCGATCATCACTAATTGAACATTATAGGACACACCTGCAGAGGATCTGATTATGGATATAGGTTCAGTATATAAATGATTATGGATATAGGTTCAGTATATAAATGATTATGGATATAGGTTCAGTATATAAATGATTATGGATATAGGTTCAGTATATAAATGATTATGGATATAGGTTCAGTATATAAATGATTATGGATATAGGTTCAGTATATAAATGATTATGTATATAGGTTCAGTATATAAATGATTATGGATATAGGTTCAGTATATAAATGATTATGGATATAGGTTCAGTATATAATTGATTATGGATATAGGTTCAGTTTATAAATGATTATGGATATAGGTTCAGTTTATAAATGGGTAACTCAGCGCGGATGTTCAGAATTCTTGGTTCAGTTTTCATGAAGTTCTAGATTCTATAAAGGCTTGATTCGGAGGCTCCGTGAAAACAACTGAGCGTGAAAACTGAGCATGCGTGCAGCTACAGTATGTGCATCACCGCTGATGATTGACAGCCCTTGGCATCACTTGATTGGTTAAGGTAATATAATTAGGTAATATATAATATATGGTGTATATATTATATATATATATGCTGTATTATGTTATATATTATGTTTTATATTATACAATGATGTATTGTGTTATGTTGTATATTATGTTATATATTATGCTGTATGTTATGTTGTGTATTATATATGATATATATGGTATGTATGGTATATATGATGTATATGATATATAATATATAATTAGGTTTGCTTGGATCGGTTTGCACACCTGCTGTGCAATCCATGAATCTTGGTGCTGTAACCTACTGTAGACTAGCCTAGCCGTGGCTGCTGCTGTCTCACCTCCTTTCAGATACGCTCTCTTTATTCAAGGCTAGGTTTAAAACAGTCCTCTTTAGTTTAGCATATGGTTAGGAAGGTAAGACTCAGGGAAGGCTAAACTCCTCAGACTGTCAGTCAAGCTGCATAGGGAGTCAGTTTGCTGGGAGAAGTATGGTAACTTGAGCACTATCCTCTCCTCCTTCCTACTTTATCTGTTTAGCATTTTTAAGATTTTGACTGTAGTTTGTTCATTGCTATTCACCCGTTGTCCCATTGTCTGTTTCATGGTACGATGACGGGATCTCTGAGCCTGGCCTCTTCCATCTACACCTGCGGACTGCCCCGCCCGACCCGCCTGGGTGTGCTTCAGTCCTGCACCGGACCTGTCCACCTTCAGCGGCCACTGGTCCACGTTCTGTAGCTAGCTTAGGTCCTAGATCATTAGCCTGTCCGTCCGGAGGAGCGGATCCCTTTCTCAAATGGGTCACCCTCCCTGTGGGTTTCCCTAGTTCTCCCCAAGGTTTCTCACTTTTTCCCACTGGGTTTTTTAAGAGTTTTTCCTTGTCGATGCAGGAGGGTCTTGTGGGACAGTTAGTGTCCAACAGAAAGGATTGGTGATGATCAGGACACTTTAGCATTCTACAACATGTATGGACATTTTCTTCTGTGTGTGCTTTATATTCTTCATGTGTTTTAACTGTTGATTCTCTGATCTGTGTTGGTGATTTCAATGGTTTTGTTAAGTCCTCTGAGATGACTTCTGTTGTGACCTAGGGCTATACAAGAATAAATTGTATTGTATTGTATTGTATTGTAAGGTGGACGGCATCCTGGATTTTGAGCAATAGCTAAGAGAAGGGAAGGCGGGACTTAGCCGTAATATTAGAATTCATACAATGACTTATTTTATATCAACATTTAAGGCCAGGAGGTCAATTTAATACAGTTCGTAATTCATTTAGAGTTCCAGACTATCACTTTAATGATGAAGGATTACTGGGTGTGAATCTACAGTCAATAGGCATGAACAGTTTTAGTCCATTATACCAAATGGCGGCTCTGTATCCTTGTGTGTGAGATCATTAGTTTTTTTTCACTGGCTTTGGTGCATTTCTCACCTCACTCTTCACATTTGCAGCACAGTCAGTGCGTTTCTCAGAAAAATGAGTACAAACTGCAAAATGTTGTGGAAAAACCTGCAAAAGTGTGTCAATCTCTCAAAATGAAAAGTTGATTCCTCAAAAGCTATTCTCAAAATAAAAAGTCCTGACACCAGTGTTCATGAACAACGGCAATCCTACAGCATTGTGCAAAGAAATACAGTCACGTACGTGTATAGATAGATAGATAGATAGATACTTTATTAATCCCTGTAAAAGAAATTCAGGTGTCCAGTAGCAGCAAAAATGAAAAATAAAATTGTTCATTCTAAAAAGCTAACAATCGTAATAATCAGCAACTGCCCTTCAGGTCACAGCAGCAGAGGTGGAGTAGCCTGGGTGGAGCAGGACGGGTCACCAGGTGGAGTAGCCACTTGGTTTGGACCATTTTCTCTGCTCTAGTCCAAAGTAAAATGCTAAATGCTTCATTAGCATTTTTTCAAAAAGTTCGCATTCCTCCAGTGGATTTTCGCCTGATCCTCTTGGTTTGGGCCATGAATCCTCTCTGCTCTGTTCTGGACCAGTGTAAAACCATGAACACTGTACTGCAGCAACATCCCAGGAAGAAAAAAGCACCTTGAAAACATAAAGGTAAATTTTTTCTTAACTTTTTAACAGCCTATGGGAAATTAATAGCTAAATTTCTTTCCTTGGCAGGTGTCAGCTGTCTGGGAACTAGTGGGCATAGACCTTACAGGGCCATTTCCCAAAACACCAGATGGGTTCCTGTATATTCTGACTATTGACACTGACTATTTTTCAAAATGGGTTGAAGCAAACCCTTTATGGAGCAAGTCTGCGTTAGAGGTTGCACAACGGCTTTGCTCCATCATATATCGACACGGCTGCCCAAATTCTGTTGTCTGAATCAGGGACGGGAGTTTGTAAATGAGGTATGTAGCTTTGTATCTGTGTATACATTATAAAAATCAACACTATTTCAGTAATTTTTGTTGTTTGTACAGCTCAATAATGAACTCTGCAACCTCCTACATATTGAGCGCAGTGTCACCTGCACCAGCTGCATATCACCCCCGAACAAATGGTCTGGATGAGAAGTGATGTGAATAACATGCACAAGCTGACACACAGACAAGAGTGAATAAAGTATAACCACCATAACAATTTATATTACCAGTAATCACATGTACTAACAATTATATTGATCAGTAAATGTTCTTATAAGTATCTCCATAAAATGTTCTTATATTATCAGAAAGCATAAGGGTCTGCATAATAGGCCTTTGTTATATGTGTTAGTGCGGTCAGTGAGAATTCAAGGACAGGCTGGTCTCTGTGCAAAAGTAACCATTTCAGGAACGATGTGTCTGCTTCGTATGAGACAAAAATCCGGACCAGGCCAGTCTCGGGGACTGAGGTGTTAAGGAGCCCATGACGTCTTCGAGGGACGAGTCCTGATCTTCAGCACATTTATAAAACTGTATTATGTAGAAATTGTGAACTAGTCTGGACAAGGGACCTGCAGTATAAAGTCAGAGCGCCTGACTTTATACTCATATATAGATTTGAGAGGGAGAGCTAACTAAGTCCAGACCGCTGTTTAGACTCTTTGTATCAGGGAATAAACTCTTT